CCCCCCCGAGCTCGTCCCCCCACCCCACCAAGCAAAAAAATAAATAATTTTGAAATTTGAGAATTTTCACCTCAGCGTCGCTCTTTTAGTTTGTAATAATTGCAAAATCTCCATCGTCGCGGGAGGGATGAACAGTGAACACCCCCCTCCCACACCCTCCCCGCTCGCGTCGCTTGGCTCCCTCTGCCTGGTCGCTTCGCGCCTCGAGCCAGGGTGCGGCTTTTGGGCGCGCGGTCCAGGCGTGTCCGGACCCCCCTTGCTCCGCGCAGGAAAACGCATCTGAGGAGGTCTAATTTTAAAAAATTCTGGCCCCCTTCGCGCTGCTGCGCAACTGTTGGTTTACGGTTAGACCCCCCCCCCGCCTGGCCGTACAAATCCTGTACACGCCCTGCCGAGCAAATGCCAACATTGAAAAACGAACCCCCCAAATAGGAAAAGCTGGCTAGGCCTGCTTGCCATGAATACATGATCATACTCATTATGAACAATGTGGAAAGAACCATGACGCACACGAATTACAGAAGACAAGCACCACAGACTCACTGCACACAGGCACTTTGACCGTTTGCCAATAATGAAATGCATGATAAATATAATCTGTTGCTTGTTTATGCTCTATCGTATTGCTGCTGCTGGCGCCGCCGTGCCAGCTGCGTGGTTCACGGGTCGCAGGACAGTGGCTGCTTACCAATGCAAACAGTCCACGACCTCGTATTGCCCAGCCTTGTATAAACTCGCCCGGTGTGTTTTCTCCCGCAGTCATTACATCGGTAGCGGAGGGAAAAACCTCCCCCCCCCTCCGCCACAGGTCCGTGCTACGCATTCACTGGACATACGTGTCTAAATGGGTGTTTGTCTCGACTCGAATTCTGCGCATGTTACAGGTTTCTGTGGTAGAAAGCTAGGTTCGTTCACTGAAGCAAGAGGCAGCTTATATGGTTTTGGTAGCGGAGCAAGAAATTATAAGCTCGTGCTTTTATGAACATTATGGGGTCTTCTGCAATAGAAATACAATACTCTGACGTAAATGTCTACACTACAGTTCGATGAAAGATTCACGTTGAAGAATTCTATATGGGTTACGTTTGTTCCTAAACGTTTATGCTCATTCGGTGCCTTAACCCCAATTTCCTATAGGGTGTGGGGGGGGGGTGCTTCACTATAGGCTAGCCGTACATCCAAACATACTAAGTCGTGCATGCAAACGTACACGACACATCCAGATTATACCGGGCATTATATATATCAAGAGTCCATAATAGAGTCCATTTTCTATTATGGACTCTTGATATATATATAATATATATATATATATAATCACATAGTATGTGTGCGTGTGTGAGCGCGTGCATTGTATATTACGTGTGCCTGCGTGTTTGCAATGTATATAGGTCAATATGTCAGCACCTCATTGTAGTCGTTGGGGGGAAAACGTTACTCCTATTGGTTTCTGACATTTCTGACCGTCGCTGGGTGCAACAGTGTGAGCGTACCTGCTAGGTCTAGTACGAGTCGTAAACGTAACACACGATAACAAACCGGTGTCCGCAGGGCGGCGATTCCATCGAGGTCGAATTCTGCCGCGACATACAGCTACCACCAGAGGGCAGCATATTCCTCGTGTACGAGGGGAAGCGGGTGCGACACGTCACCGGTGTCCGCCTGGTGGACAATGGCAGCACACTTCACGCCATCATCCCAGGTGAGTGCCACTTGTTTCGATTGAACCAGCAAGTTTTTGTCGTCGGTTTGTGTTTAGCGCTAGACAACTGTATCGCTTCTATGTTTGCGAAAGGGTAACGGCTTTCGTCATGTCGTTTCTGGACAGGCAAGCATGTGCAAAGAAACCTGATTGGTTCTTGTAGTCAGGTGACTTTGCGTCACCGACGCAGACGATAAAGGGCAGCTACCCTTGCTAAGATCTGATCATTTATTAAAGTGAGGTGAGCTTGCCTGAAGTACTCATTGTCGTTAAAAGATGACCAAATCCTGGGTAAACAAGTTGTCTGTAATGTGATACAAAGAGGTCAGGTAGATGTCATCGCTCTCATAAACAAAAACTGTTGGTTGAACTGGGGTTCTTTCATGCATTTTTTTAGCATATCGATTTCATGCCATGCTTTGTCCGTCTTTTCCCCTCGCATCTTTCACTCGAGCGATATGAGCGAAGTTGTCGCGATCTCATTATTTTTTATACGAAATCCGTCTCTTTACTAGCAAATCACCTCGTCTCCGTTTGTGAGAGAATCTCTCTCGAGGCCCCTCATCAACGCCGACATGCTTTATTTTTGCTCCACCGTGCAAACCTATACTAATTGGGGTCAGTTCAGTCGAGCATGTTCGTGAATTACGTGCGAGGTAGTGAAGCCCTGCAGGATGCGGGACTCAATCTCACAGCATCCGCCGAAGCTACCGCGCCGTAACCCGCAGTGCGCGCATTTGCATTCAGTGTCTTCTGTAGGGCTCGGCAAGATTCTTTTCAGGCGCACCTTTATGTGTTGTCTAATACTTAGAAATATTGTTGTATTGCAGACTATAATACATATATCAGGAGTTAATAAAGACAAAGGAGTTTGACACGTATTTGGTACTGATTATTATTACGTATTTTCACATAAAAAATTACACATATAATTATCAAGAGTATATAATGGGAGTTCTCCCATATATACTCTTCGTTTCTATAATGTACGACGATGGTTGCTCAATGAAAACTGAATTCTTCTCACTCCCACTTCTCACACTGACTTCTTCTACTTGTGTCCTTTTTTGTGGTGAGCTACAGTGTCATTGACACTTTCATTTTAAATAAACGCTGCGCTGGTAAAATATCTGAACTACTTCACCTGCGGAGGAATGATGTGTATGAATCTTAGCATGTAAATTGACGCTCCAGCTGATTGTAGCTTTTTCGCACGTATTTTGCATAGCAACCGTTACTATGCAATTGCAGATCGTCATGAAAATCGTAAAAATATTAATATAGCCGTATGTTATTATACGCCATCGTATACGATGCAATAGTATTTAATGTCTGAAATCATTTACATACTACCAAGAATGTGTGTCATGGTGTCAGTCATGGTGTCATGCTTAACGGGTTTCAAGTAAAGTAATGAAGTTAAATTGTCACAGGACAGTACTCGCCATTATTTCTTCAGTTTCGAATGCGATATCAGTTGGGCAGTTCAAAATGTTCACTGTTATATGATATTGACAAGTTAAAGAAATGGTTGTGCGCAAGACTGCTTGTTACTCTCTGTAAAATTGCGCGAGTAATATACATGCTCCATTGCGTTGCAGTGCCTATACTGCCTATCTATCTATTCGTCCATCCATCCATCCATTCATCCACCCACCCATCCATCCACCCATCCATCCATATATCCAACCATCCATCCATCCATCCATCTATCCAACCAACCATCCATCCATCCATCCATCCATCCCATCCATCCATCCATCCATCCATACATACATCCATCCATCCATCCATCCATCCATCCATCCATCCATCCATCCATCCATCCATGATCCATCCATCCATCCATCCATCCATCCATCCATCCATCCATCCATACATCGATCCATCCATCCAGCCATCCAGCCATCCATGCATCTATCCATGAATTCATCCAACCATCCATCCATCCAACCATCCACCAATCCAACTATCCATGCATATATTCTACAATTATTGAATGGTTGCGTCGGAATTTTGATCTTCCACATCTGATTTCATTTTACGTCACGCGACATGCTCCACACCAATTTGAAGACAGAATTTCTACGCAACCCTATAACATATATATATATATATCAAGTACATATATGTACACATATATATATATATCAATTCAGTGACTATGCAGAATTGTGCGCAAGCATTGGCATGTGTTAGTTGTGAAAGACATCTCTGTATAGCGTCTATGCGAAACACGTTTGCTATATATATGCCTCCACATTTCCTGTTATTCCGTGTCATTAGTGAGAGTGTATCAGCCGGGTGTAAACACATCTAAACGTGTATGGCATCTATGTGATACACAGCGCCTGCTAATGCATGTTTACGACTATATCAGCGCTAATAGAAATAGATGGAGTTTTTCCCCCTCTCTCTCTCTCTATGTATCTATCGGTGATATATACGTATAACACGCTAGATTGATGTAGATCGTGAAGTGTATGGCCAGTGATATATACAGAAGTGAATAATAATAGCATATTATTATTCACTCCTGATATATATATCGGTGATATATACGTATAACACGCTAGATTGAT